CAACAAGTGGTATCAGAGCTATTTTGGCAGCTGTGCTAGTTCTTCTTTTGGAGTGCTAGTGTGTTGAAGATGGCAAGTGACAACGAAGTTGATAGTGGTGACAGTTCACAGCAGTTGAAGCAACCACAAGCAACAAGCATGAAGGTGGAGTTAAAGCCTTTCACAGGGAAGGAGAACTTCACACTTTGACAATGAAGGATGAAGTCAGCTCTTACACAACAAAATCTCCATGTTGTGTTAGTTGGCAAGGAGAAGAAGCCAACAAGCATGACAGATGATGAATTGGGAGTACTTGACGAGTTACCTAGAGGAGCCATCGAAAACTACCTCTCCGATGAGGTGCTCATCAACGTGATGAAGGATATGGCGAAACAAACATGGGAGAAGCTCGAAGAGATGTTTGCAGGGAAGTCGCTGTCCAACAAACTCTTCCTCAAGGAAGAACTCCTAAATCTTAAAATGGAGGAGGGAGGAAATCTAATGGAACATCTAAGTAGTTTCAATAGATGTGTTGCTGACTTACAGAGAATGAAAGTTAATTATAGTACGGAGGATAAGGCTCTTATGTTGTTGACATCCTTACCTCCGTCCTATAAGCACTTCCGAATCACTCTTATGTTTGGGAAGGTTACTCTGGATTTTGAGCCGGTGGTGCAAGACATCATGACACACCATAGGATGGCTCAACGTTCGGGAGAAAACTCTCAAGGTGAAGGTCTAGTTGCAAAGACCGGAGAGAGAGGCCGTTCAAAGAATCGTGAAGGCAAGAAAGGCAACAGAGGAAGGTCCAAATCCAAGGCGAAAGACGATTGTTTCGAATGTGGGTCAAAGGAGCATTGGAAAAAGAATTGCCCCATATGGAAGGAGAAGAAGAACAAAGGGAAGAATGCAGCAAACACAGCTAAGGAAGTCACAGAGAGTGATGGTGAGCTTTTATGTGCAAGTAGCAATGTTAAAATAAATGCATTGACTAATTCTTCAAGTTGTTCCTCTTCCGATTGGATTTTGGATTCCGGATGCTCGATGCTCATACCATATGTACTCAAACAAGGAGTGGTTTGACACGTATGAGAAAGAAGAAGGTGGCGAAGTTATGATGGGGGATGGCTCAATTTGTGGAGTTAAAGGCACCGGTACAATCAAGGTGAAGATGCATGATGGGGCTGTTAGGACTCTTGGAATGGTAAGGCACATTCCAAAGTTGCGTAAGAATCTCATTGCCCTTGGAACTCTTGATAAGAGTGGTTATTCATTTAAAGCCGATGGAGGGAAACTCATAATCTCAAAAGGTTCACTTGTGGTTATGAAGGGAGAAGTTCAACCTAATTGCCTATATAGATTATGTGGTACAACAATTACAGGTGGAGCGGCTGTATCCACAAGCAAGGACTCGGAGGATGAAACTCAGCTTTGGCATTTGAGGTTAGGGCACATGAGTGAGAGGGGCATGCAAGAACTACACAACAGAAAGTTGTTGAAGGGTGTTCAAAGTTGCAAGCTTGAGTTCTGCAAATATTGTACCATGGGAAATCAATCAAAGGTGGCTTTCAAGCAGCAAAACAAAGAGGAAGAAAGCACGGGTGTGCTAGACTATATTCACACGGATGTATGGGGGCCATCACCGGTGGTTAAATCAAAGGGTGGAGCTCGCTATTTCGTGACTTTCTTGGATGATTTTTCAAGGAAGGTGTGGGTCTATTTCATGAAGGAGAAATCTGAGGTCTTCACCAAATTCAAAGAGTGGAAGGCGGAAGTGGAAAACCAAACCGGAAGAAAAATCAAGATTCTAAGGAGTGACAATGGTGGTGAATATAAAGACAACAAGTTCCTTGAGTTTTGCAGAAACGAAGGCATTAAGAGGCACTTTACCGTGAAGAAGACGCCCCAACAAAATGGAGCTGCGGAAAGGATGAATAGAACTCTCATGGAGCGTGAGAGATGTATGAGGATTCATGCGGGATTGCCCGAGTCATTTTGGGCGGAGGAGGTATGGTCTAATAAGTCAATTGATTATTCAAAACTTAAGGTGTTTGGATGCAGTGCATATGCACTTATTCCTAGTGATGAAAGGTCCAAGTTGAAGCCAAAGTCTCTTGAACGCATTTTAATCGGATTTGAGAGCGGTGTGAAGGGCTACAAGCTATGGGATCCAGTGAACCAAAAGAAGATACTCAGCAGAGATGTTGTGTTTGATGAGAAGACCATGCCTATGAACAAAGTTAAGAATTCAGAGGCAAAGGAGGATGTTGTTGGGAGAGAAATAACCATTGAAGTTCCACTCAAGAAGGTGTTTAGGGAAACTTCACAAGAACAGCCAACTGAAGACGTTCAGGAGGAGGTGGAGTCCGACCTTGAGGAGGAAGATGCTGAGCAACAACAACAAACTCAAGAAGAACAAGAGGCTCAAGAACAGGTGGAGCCATCATCTATAGCTCGGTCTAGGCCCAAGAGAACCATCAAACCACCCCAAAGGTTTGGATGGGATAAGGATGCAGTTCACTATGCTTTGAATGCTAGTGAAGAAGAACCAACCACGTTCCAAGAGGCTATTGAGAACAAGGAACGGGAAAGTTGGATGGAAGCTATGATGCAAGAGATGGAATCTCTACACCAAAACTCAGTTTGGGAGTTAGTTCCTAAACCCAAAGGTCGAAATGGGTGTTTAGGAAGAAAGTGGAACAAGTGCACGGGAAAGAAGAAAGAAGACATTTACGGGAAAGGAGCCACCATATTCAAAGCTCGATTGGTGGCCAAAGGATACTTGCAAAAGGAGGGAGTTGATTATGATGAAATTTTCTCTCTGGTGGTGAAACATACTTCTATACAGTTACTACTCTCCTTAGTAGCTCAAGAGAACATGGAGGTGGAGCAAATGGATGTGAAGACTGCTTTTCTCCATGGGGACTTGGAGGAAGACATCTACATGAGCCAACCTCAAGGGTTCATTGAAGCAAGCAAAGAAAATCTGGTTTGTAGATTGAAGAAGTCTTTGTATGGGCTGAAGCAATCTCCAAGACAGTGGAACAAGTGCTTCGATTCTTTCATGATGAAGATTGGGTATAGAAGATGTGAATCTGATTGTTGTGTATACACTCATGCATTCAAGGATGGTAATATCATCCTTTTGCTCCTTTATGTTGATGACATGCTAATTGCATGTAAAGACATGTCAAAAATTCAGGAATTGAAGACATTGCTTGGAAAGGAGTTTGACATGAAGGATCTTGGCTCTGCACAAAAGATCCTAGGTATGGAGATAAGGAGAGACAGAAATGAAGGCAAGTTGTGGCTGTCACAAAGCAAGTACATTTCCAAGGTACTTGAAAGGTTCAATATGATGGATTGCAA